GACAGGTGCACATCATTATGGGGCCGGAAATACGGAGCGCATCCTTATCTTGTTTGTTTCGCTTTCTACAATGCCTGCAGTTGATTTGCATGAACTGTTGATTTGTTGACAACCAATAAAGATGAACAAATCTGTCGGCATTTTCAAAAAAGGAATCGTGACGATCTCGCCAACTCTGCAGACCAGGCACGTAGCCAGGATTTTGTTTCGGGGGCGGGGGGGGGGGGGGGCTGCTTATGACAAAATGCTGTATGTGGGGGAGAGGAGGTCCCAGCAAAATGGAAAATTTCGGAAAAGGGGGGGGGGGGGGGGGGGGCCTTAGCGAAAACTAAGACGTTTGAAATATACCACATTCTAATTTGAGTGTATTTGAAGTACAGCTCATTTTTCTGAATCTCGAGACAGGAGGCTCGCCCCACTGACCTTGGAGGGGAACTCGGTGTCTCTTGCGACAGAGTAAAACCAAGAGAGACCAGACCGGTTTTTAAGCCTCTTGCGATCTCTCAGGACCAGCTCCGCTGCAACGCATCCAGTCCTAAGAAGTCGCAAAAGGCTCGAAAACCGGTCTGATCTCTCTCGGTCTTACTCGGTCGCAAGAGTGTGAACGGCTCTTTATATAGACCTAGAGCCACTAAATAAGCTGCGCTTAGAGTATCGGCACTCCGTTCCCCGACATTGTTGTGGGCGCCGCCATTTTGGCTCGTATGCAGAACTGACGCAACGGCCGATCGTCATGATTCAAAAGTGCGACTTCCTCAGCATTAGATCCGGTGTTAGGAAGGTCACGTAATATTGCTTTGCTCTGTCGCGAACGGTTTAAACATTTGTGGAGGGCGGAAAAGCATTTCCTGTGATTTCAGATAAAGCCTCAGATAACTGGCAACCATGATTTTAAGCCACAATATGGCCAAGTGTCGTTACTCTGAAGCGTAGCTTATTTAGTGGCACTATATAGACCCTTTCTTCCAGGGCGCCGCCATCTTGAATTGTCGTCACTTCCAGTATGGGCGAAAACGTTGTTTTGCCGTCCCCACGCCAGTGGAAGACACTCAGGATATAAGCATAACCGCCACACATTCTCGTTTTGCCTCAACTTTATTTTTTTACTAGGTGCAGGTTGAAATGTTTTAGTATTTTTTCGTCGCCCCTACCGGATACGCTTATTAGGTGGCTGGGAACGAGAGTACACAGAAAAGGTCTATACTTTGTCTCATCCTACGATGGACTAAAGGCCAAAGCCACGGGCCGCCAGTTCCAATCGCTACACGCTGAACTATGACATGCTTAACATTGATTAGGGGTGGACGAATAATACTCCGAATCAAAATGCGCTGCATCATTTCTATAGCTTCGATACTGCAAAGAGTCTGTACGTTGTGGCTTTCTTTGTGATGTAAAATTGATGAGTCACTCAGTGCTACTCAATTCGAACCACTGTCCTAGTGATCCTAGACGGAGGCACCGACACATGCGTCGAAGCGAAATACCATGCAATTTCTAAGTGGCTTGTTATTGGATCTGGTGGCCCGTAGCTTTTACCTTTAGTCCATCCTAGGTTGAGACGAAGTATAGGCTTACACCCGGCCACAAAAACTCTTGACAGCCCTCCCCCCTGGGTCCCCCCAACGGAGACGGCCGCGTTGTGTAAGCCTTCGAGCAGGCTACGCGGTTTGTCAAGGTGCTGGGTCAGGGCAGCACCAGCACACTACGGGAAATGTCATTTAATCGTCTTTTGTCTTTTCCGTGACCACACGAAAAGTAGTCGCGACATTGCCAAGTTTAACTTTTTTGCAAATGCAGTTCTGTGTATAATATATTGGATGTTCAAGCAAGGCAAGACTATAGTCCTGGAAGCGCATAAAATACCGTATAAAAAAAAAATGGAGATATGCAATTGTTGTTATTTGAAGGTAGGGGTGCTAGTAGTTAAATAGGCTTTTAACGTAGACCAAAACAAAAAACAAAAAAAAAAAAAAAACATTGACGAGCGACGGTGGGCACGAAGAGGTTTTATCGAAGGGGAGTGTCGACACATGACAGATTAAGCGAACTAGAAAACTCAGATCGAAAGTTTCGGGTAATAGTTAGGACGATAGGAAAATAACAGACAAAAAGAGAGGCATGGAATATGAGTAGGCCGACCTCACGCACACGGCCCATTTGAACGGTTTGCAATCCGCGAATCAGCACGCGCTCCCAGGTCTCGAGCACATGCCACGCGCGGAGCATCGCGAGCTGATTCGCCACCAACCATAACGGTCCCTTAACTAAATGTACCTTTACGACCGTGCAAATAGAACCTTGTAAGGCATAGACAATTTAAACTAAATATTGATATAAATTGTACGCGCGATCATTCTAAATGAAGCTCATTGTTCTTTCAGAACAGGAGTGTTGCGAACTAAGAGGCAGGGAGCTTAAATAGTTGACATAAATACAGTGTGTGGACCTCATGGAGGCGTATAGATGTAAGAAAAATTGATGCTTCTTGCGAAGGACTTCACCTTGCGGTTGCCGAAGACTCGAATGATTTCGTAAAGGCATGGAGGCTCGAGGACGACGAAGAAAAAATTTTCATCAAAGCACGGCTCTGACGCCACGCAGCTGCGCATGCGCAGAGCCCAAGACAGGCGTGGGCAAAGGCGTACTTGGGTGTAAGCAGTGTGTGGGCATATACTTTTGTAAGGTCAAGGTAACAACGTTGAGGTACTCGGGCATGGTGGTGTATGTCGAGGGAAGAATGAAGATTGCCTTATTCTTTCCCTGTCAATCCGTTCAACGTAGGTGCGCATACCCGGTTCGGAAGAGGCACCCTTTCGACACGGATTGTAATTTTACTTAAGGAAGAGGCACCCTTTCGACACGGATTGTAATTTTACTTAAGCATTCCTACTGACAGCTTTAGAAGTAAAGGTGCGTATATTAATTAGATGTCAACGGTTCACGTCAAAAAACATTGGCCAGGTGGCGCGAGCCGCCGCCCTATTAAAAGGGTTCCGTCGTATACGCATTTGGCTGACATCCCGGAAACACGTGGCCCCAACTTCTTCGAAGACAGTGTGTCCCCGCAGGCAGATTGCTTATCAATTCACCACCCATCCACTGCCGGAGGGCAGGCGTCAGCCCGGCGGTGGCTTTCGTGTCCGATGTCACGTCATTTGTTTGTAAATAAAGGATGGCCACCGGGCGGCCATCTAGAATTCCGGCTACAGGCGCTTTGCTCCAGGGCGTCGCATAGTTCCGCTTCAAGCGCCGTTGCGCCGTTCATTGTGGGGTGGTCCAGAAAGCGGAAGGAAGGGCGGAAGCTCGACACACTTGGCCGAAACTGGCAACAGGATATGCGGGATCCTATAACAGAACGTCTGGCAGCTCCGGCAAAAAAGAATAAGAGCCACACACCCCTTTCTAACGTGTGCCACCGACGAGTCGGTGACATCCTTAATGCGCAATTGGTCAGAAGAAACGCTCGGCACATTGATTCCCCTCTGCCCACCCTCGATAGTGTTGACACCGGTCTTACACACGTTACCCGGAAAAAGTAACCCTGGTTAAGCAGTATTCAATTAGATATACAAAACGACAAATTTTTCTGTCGGGTTGAAAGGGGATATTTCGCACTGTACATTGTTTGGATTAGAATCCCTACACCTGTTTGCCTAAGTTCTTGATCCACCAATTTTCGTAAACCTGTTAAAGACTTGGTTCGACGATTCCTTCGTATAGGAAACTTGTACAAAGGACGTTATTAGGAAGGGATGGGAAATGGGAAGTGTTACAAGTAATTTGAGTACATAGAAAAGAAATCAGATCACTCTGATGATTACTTCCTAATAAATGTATCCGAATGACTACAAAATTACTTCAAAATTAATCAATTACGAGTAATTTGATTACTTGTAATAAGCGTCGTACAAGTCTGCTCGATACCGCTTTGCCCTACCCCCATCGCAGTTGAGTCATCATTCATCCAATTGCGATGTAACCCTTCCTTGTTTCCTTGTTGCTGTTGTTTTTTCGCGCTTTCTTAAGTTTTTATTTAGACGTTATTTGCGACGGGACCCTCTAATCAATGAATAAGTTTGAATAAGCAAAGACTGTAGGGCAGACGAAATCGCGTACCTTCACTACAATCGGAATATACCTTTTGGTAAATAGAGTCCCTTTCCAAAATTGCGCGCCATCTAGCAGTTGCTGCACCAATTACCGGAGACCACCATTGTTGGGGCACGTATGTACATGCTACACGAGAGGGTGCGAGGGCGAAAAGAAGGGAAACTAGGAAAGCTGAAGCTCTCCACAACGGCTTTTCTTGTGCGCGCCCTTTTTCCCTTCGCGCTGTCTTTCTTATGTTGTATCTGACTATCGCGAAAACGTCACTCGTTATTCTTTTCGGTACTTTTTAGAGCAACTGTAACGATAACTTAATTATTTTTTTTTTGTAAAAGTAACTGAAAAGTGAACGGCAAAGATGCAGTAACTTGTCGGAAAAACGGGCTCTATTATTTTAAGACTACAATTGACGTAAACCTATAAACCCCCCCCCCCCCCCCCCCAAAAAAAGAAAAAAAACTTACCGCTGTAAAGTGCATTTTACTACTGCGCTCTTTTCTTATCGGGCGGGTAAACGTATTCGTTTTGTTTCAATCTGTTGCACACGGCTCACTCGCTCTTTCTTCACCCTTTCCAACTTCCTGGAAACCCCCCCCCCTCCCCCTCCCTCCTCTCCCCCCCCCCCCCCCCCCAAAAAAAAAAAGAAGGAAACAGAAAAACGGCTGCCGGGGACTCTTAGACATATGGCAGTCAATGGCGTAGCCAGAGATTTTTTTTTTAATAAAAGGGGGAGGGCAGAGCCCCCCCCCCCTCCCCTTCCCCGGTATGCTTTGTCGCACTGGTTACGTTCGTAAATGGTTTTTGCGCTTTTTCGGGTGATGCGTTGATGTCCGCAAATTCGGAGCCCCTGGCCGTACCTCATTAGGTGGCCGCTTTTCATCCTCTTGCAGATGAGCCTGTCACTGACACAGATCGAGCTCTTGGTTGCCCTACTGCTGCTCGCGACATCGCTGTCAGTGGGCCGGTCCTGCCGCACAGAAAGGGAACAGGTGACTGGCACTACGCCTCTTAGAGCACCGCTGCCCTTTTCGATTCATCTGACCACTCGAAGATCTCCCTGAAGGGCTGTCAAACTCTACACGAGCATACTTAAAGGGAAGCTACGGAGCTTCTTGGAAAAAATGAGTTAGAAGTGAATTCTAGTGTATTTTTACCCCGTGAACCCGAATACCCAAACCATTTGCTGCGTAAGTATTGTTAAACGCGAGAAAAACGCGAAAGAAAGTCGCTGTCCATGACGTCATCGACGGCTCTTTTGGCTGCCCAAGGCTAGGGGGGCGGGGCTTCAGCCCCATTTTGAAATTGCTCTTGTGGCTCTCCGGCGCGTCGCATTGAAATATAATTTTGATATCTGTTATTCTAAAGGCCAAATGAACGCAATTCAAGCGTTTTTTCTCAAATGTAGAAGTGCCCCATCTTCCCTTTAAGGCCCGTTCACACATGCAGCGGAGCGCTACAAGCATAGCGCTAACCTCGCGCTAAGCGCGTGCTGACGACAGCGTTCACCAGCTTTGTATCGCACCGTCAAAACTGTTGCTCATGGCATACGATAAGTAGCTGATGGCACGTGAGGAGCGCTACATCAGCGCTTCGCTGCATGTGAGAACCGGCCTTTATTCTCTCTTTTTTTTCTGCGCTGCTAAAATCACGGTGGCATAAAAATAAAATGCGACGCATACTCCGTACACAGCATGAAGTAAGCAGTGGCCGACATTCGTACTGGTTCATATATTCCCTCGGGTCGATGCAGTGTGACAGGGATGTGATCCAGCAAGTAGCTGACATATGCGAAGCAATTTCCAATTTGCTTTCGCTATCAATATTCGCATGGCTTCTATCGCTTTCTCTCATTGCACTTGCTGTAGCTTTATAAAGTCCTGAGTATATTATAGGTCTGTTTACCTGTGTTCTTGTTGTTTATGTTGATTGGTGTATTAATCGACAAGTGTCTGCACTGCCACACTTTACAAGCTTTTTTGTTAGAATCCTGTTTCTTTCATAATTAAGCAAGTGTAATGCTGCAAAATACAACTGCCCTATTGAAAAAAAAAACAAAAAAACTTTATGCACGGTTAAGCATTATCAGCGAGTAGCCTAGCCGCAGTCCTCCGTGAATCGTTTTTCAGCAAGTTCTGGAAGCAGCTAGGTCTCGAGGAAACTGTATTCCAGCAGTGCGTACTACACGGACTCTGCGACTGCTTAGGTTCTACACGAACCAACGTGTTGATTTCTCAAGAATATTCGAGAGGCTCGAGACGCAGAATGATGTAATGTCGATGTACCCACGTCTCACTGACACGACTGTCTTCGTAAGATAATATTGCGCTGAAATAACTGGTCCACCTCAGACTGGCAGGTTAAGAAAAACAGGAATATCTCCTCACACAAAGCCATTTACGCTTTCCAGTTTAGCGCAGAAACGCTAAAAAGGAGGAAACCATCAATCCTGGCGAGCGGAGAGATGTCTGGGCTTAGTGGAGAATACAAATCGAGATGATTTAAAGGAGGCACGAAACAATTTTCCTACTTTCGCTAGATACAGCTCAGAATCACTCCCTAACGTTAGTAACCGAATAAACTTGCCTTTGTTTTTCTTTTTAAGCAATGGAAGTCGGCAAAAATATTACAAGAGCGTACGCCGAGGCCTTGATTGTTACGAGCCAAGTCGAGCGCTCACGCAGTTCTCGTGTCCAATCCAGGAGCCGCGCTCGAGTGTCGTCAGGCGGTTCATTTCGATCAGCGTTATTATATTAGCTAAGTTACGGAACTGATAATAGACGCTACTCACAGGTACACAGCGGTTGCAAAAGCATAAACAATAAATTATATAAAGCAAAACACAATAAAATTAACGATGTCAAATACGGCGAAGACAAAATCAAAGCGGTGCTGTTTTGTGCCGGGGTGTAATGTGGGTTACAACAGATGTGAAGAGGAACACTCCTCTTTTCGGGCGCCGAGTGCCGCCTCTCTGTTCGCAAAATAAGATCGCCTAATTCCATGTAAAAAAAAAAAAAGGCTATGTAGTGAAAAAAAAAGAAATGTAAGGAAAATGTGTGACCTGTGTGGCATTTCAGAGAAAATATCTTTCACCAAGTAGAATTGCTCTTCGTTGCTCCATTTCTCTTGCCAGTCTTGGTGTTCATCTTATACGATGCATGCTCAGTATAGACCGACACGCGGAGCGGCTCTGTTTACCAACACGGCCGGAAGGCCGCGCATGCGCGGTAGCTATGTGGGCAAAAGCGGTTCGGCTGCGCCGGCTCCCCGTGTTTTTGCCATTGCGTTGTGTGGCGTGCGCTCGTTGTCGACGTTGTAGAGACGCTTCTAGCTCTATTTGTGAGTCGTATTTCCTGACAACGTATGTCGTATGCTCTACCTGACTATTTGAGCTGGCTACCCGAGCCTGAACGGCAGCGGTATCGAAACAAACTGGGCGTGGACGGCGTTGCCCACGAGGATCCGTACGCCGTAAACAAGGCCTGCTAGAATTCCGAGATGAAGTTGCTGTCACCGAAGTCGACGGCTCCCGTCGTCGTTTATTTAGTTTTTTTTTTTCCCAAGCCAGTTCACTGCCGACAAAGTGCTGCAGGCTAGTGCCACTAAATAAGCTACGCTTCAGAGTAACGACACTTGGCCATATTGTGGCTTAAAATCATGGTTGCCAGTTATCTGAAGCTTTATCTGAAATCACAGGAAATGCTTTTCCGCCCTCCACAAATGTTTAAACCGTTCGCGACAGAGCAAAGCAATATTACATTACCTTCCTAACACCGAATCTAATGCTGAGGAAGTCGCACTTTTGAATCATGACGATCGGCCGTGGCGTCTGTTCTGCATACGAGCCAAAATGGCGGCGCCCACAACAATGTCGGGGAACGGAGTGCCGATACTCTAAGCGCAGCTTATTTAGTGGCTCTAGTGCAGGCGTCCAATTCTCTCAAGGCCTACGATTACTGCTAGTCGGTTTCCGCGCTGTCGCCGGGATCAGCAGACTGTGGGTTTGCGGAAGTGTATTTATTAATTAAATAAATACACACAGCGTCTTTGAGTCAAGGTATGATATTTTTCCTACCATCATGACCACAAGGCATGACAATCAGTAACGCTTTGTCCGGTCTGCAGTCTTGGTGGTGACACGTTACAAGTAACGGCGTTACTTTTTCAGTAGCGTAGTAACCTACTCGTTACTTTTTCGACACAGCAACGGATAACGTACTTACGTTACTATTTCAAGTAACCTAGTAACGTTACTCGTTACTACTTCCCAAGTCTTAAAGAAATTACACTTAAATTTTTTTCCGTGTTTCTAGGCATCAAGCCATGCTTTTCTTTGCGTTTTTTCTCGTGAGTATTTAGGTGAAAACGTGAAAAGAGATAAAGTAATTATGCTCAGTTTCTGCATGAACATAATGTTTCTTGATGTATGAGCTTATGCATACCTGTGTCGTCAAAACCGCAAAAAGTGTTTAATCATAATTTTAAAAAAGTAACGCAGAAATAACGTGCGTGACTTTCTATCAACTGCGGTAACGCGTTCGTTTTATTTTTAGGCAACGTAGCTCAGTAACGCGTACCTTTTATTTGCAAGTAACGAGTAACGTATTTCGTTACTTTTTTTCGGTAACGCCTACAACACAGCCGTTCTGTCGCCGATCCCCTTCTTCTCGGTAGCACGCGCGTAGCGAGCATCCGACGAGCGCTTGGCCGGTGCTTTGTGCGCGAACACCGTGGGAACAAAATCCGGGTGGTCTCGATCAAACGACGGTTTTCCTGCACATAAGCAAGCCTCGGGACGGAGATTGAAATGGAACCCGCACTTGCCTTCAAGAAAGTGCTTGCCGCACAAACGGTCGTTCGCGCGAGGCGACCATTCTTTTCGATTCACGGATATTATCCACCTTCTATGCCTTTCAGAGTCTGCCGGGAGCTTGTGGAAACTCACTCCACTATTTTTCTTGTACATTCCGGTGCAATTAAGGGCAACACAGCTTCGCGGCATGCTGAAATGCCATGACGCCCATGCGAAACGTGCGCCCTTTTGCCCAAACAACCCGGCTCCGGCGCGATCGCAGCGCCGCCGCAGATCCGTGATGTCAAGCCTGCGTGTCGGTCCATAGATGAAAGCAATTCAGACATTTCCTGCCTATAAGCTTTGACTGAAAATTCAGAAGCCAAAAAAACGTTCGATTTCAATAATCTATATGCTACACAAAAAAGATGCTAACACCAGAACAAAAACTAGGTATATAAAATTCTGCAAAATGTACAACTGCAAAAAAAAGAAAATTAAAAAAAATCCGTTTTACACTAAATTGGAGAGGAAATCATCGCATATCATATCATATTCAAACTTCATTTTCTTAATGCTCGCATGTAAGGAGAGAAAGGCAACTATTCCTTTACAAGAGCCAAACGAAAAAGAAAATCACTGAAGCGAGACTACGTAAGTAACTGACCGCTCCCAAACGACATTTCCGCTTTGAATATTGGCTTCTGCCGCTCACGCAAGTCACGCTTTTTCACATGAGTTTGAAATAGAATTGAACTTATTCTTTCTCACAACAGAGCAGAAAACAAAACAGAAGAATACGACCATTTTTACGCCGAATAAATCATCTCTGCCGCGACCGCCAGGCCTCTGCCAGCCATCGGATGGCCGCGCTATAGAGTTACTCTATATATGGTAGCAGAGTTGCGCATAGGTCCGCCATCTTGCCCTCAAAAGCATCCAGATGTTTTGTAGGAAAGCCACACTCATGTCTGCAGGAGTCGAGTACGCTCGGCGCAGCGCCGACGGTGGGCGCTCGTTCCTTCCGCTTTATTTTTGGCAAACGCATTACGCTTTTTATGCACGTGTAAGTAAATGTTCGCGTAAATACGAGCCTTTACACCACGCTCGTGTAAATAAACAAATATTTCAAATAAACAGGTTGCAAAGAGATTGGCGGCAAGCGGCGGTGGCGGCGGTGCAGTCCAGTTCGGCGTTTCGGCTTCTCTGCAGCGCTTGGGTGTTTTTTGAACCTCGTGATCTCGTTCGACGAATAGAGATGCGAGCGGCGCGGGAAAATCAAATGCGCAACTCTGCTCCCCCTTCCGGGGGTGGGGCATTTACAAGAACTTTACCGCGCTCTGCCCTACAGCGCCCTCACCGGCGTGCTTGCAAATCGCGGCACACTCACTGCCACGTGACGGCATATACCTCGCCATTCTAGCACACCCTACCCAGGGATCCTGCAGGGTTCAAACCTCACCCCTGCCGGTTTTGATTTGGATGAGCATCGTACCGGCGTGCGGTCGTGTATATAGAAGGTATTCACTGGACGCCATAGTGAGGGCGCTGTTTAGAGCGCATGCTCAGAACGAGCTCAGATTAATAGGCTGCAAAGATGGGCAATCTTGATGCTGTAAAAGAACTGTGGAAGCGCGCCGTCAGCACGCGCTCAACAGTCGTGCACACAGCAGTGACCACCAGTTATTACTCCACATATCACTAAGCTGCGCGATGCGCGTTAAAGACCCCAGGCTAGCGGTTGTACTGCACTGGCAAAATTGCTCATCTACAGCTGAGAGACGGTCACCTTGTTAAGCAGACCAACTTCAGGCTGTATAAACATACACATAACACAATTACTTTTCCCTTTTATTCTCGCAATATCACCGCGACAAAGAAGCTTCTGAATCAGTGACGATCCGTGCGAGTATACTTGGGCCAGACTAGAACCAGTACGCCTTTGTAAACTCACGAACATGCGAACCCGATGCAGTTCCATGACCCCTACATCGTGATTGAAATCGCAGCGATTTCGTTATAACGGTTTAGATCAAACATTTTCCCCCAAAACAATCCCGAAAATATTTCAATATTTTTTTGTCGCTGGTCTTTATTGTTGGGTGCATTCTATCGAGGTTTATTTTGTATTTAAAGCAAATATTGGTCAGACAAGAAATATTTATATCAGGCAGCTTCTTTTAACATATCTAGTTCAAAAAGGTCCCTCTTTTCTAGCTGAAGTAATTTAAATCGCATAAATGTCATTTAAGTAAAATAAATATGATTTATTTGATCTATTTAAAAACATTATTTCCATCTTGTTCGTGTGGCAGAGGCTTGCTCTCCTTATCTTAGCCTTAAGACATTAAAACCTTTTTCAAACCTACGAGAGTTTCTAAAAATCTCGGGAGGCTATCGTGGTATCCGTCGGGTGCAGGGTGCCCATTTCAGTGACCCACTTGGGGGCGCAACATTTTGGAATAACTTTTAAGACATTAGGGTGTGGACTCATTGAAGGGTGTGGGAGTAAACGCATAACGGTTCGGTAGCAAATTTCAGGGATGGATTCCAGGGAGGTGTATACCGTAGGTTTGTGCACTTTAAGTAAAACGTTCTGGGCTAAGGGGGTGTTAGGTTGTGTTAGGGAGATGGGGGCAGTCTTGTACACGTTACTAAATAAGCAGTTGATTACGATAACGATTACTCGTTGTTAAAATGTATTTTGGTACGATGCGCGGGGAAAAGAATTTTGCAACGTTGAAATTGTTCAATAAAACATTAGTCGCCAGTTAAGCGCCTGTCCTGTGTGTCTATGTTTGTACAAATTTTCCCCAATCTTTCGCGCTTTTAAAAATAAATTTAAATTATTTTATATGAGATTACTCGATTTCTTGTCGGAAAAAGTAGTTGACCGTCACCTGAAGAAGTAACCTTTACTTGTCCGATCCCATCAGTCCTTCAAAAGAACAGATTTTCCTGCCGGTTTGAAAACATGCCTTTCGTGCTGTCAGTTTGAATGCTGTCAGCATTCAAAACTGTTCATCTCAATCCCGAAATTTTGGTAGACCGTCCGTTTGTCGAAGACTCGGTTGGAAGATTCCTTGGTAGGGAACTTGTAGAAACAAAGGTCGCATTAGGAAGGGGAGGGAACGAATAGTGACGGTCACAGGTAATTTTAGTACTTCCAAAAGTAATCGATCTGCTCCTCCGATTACTTCCCAATACCAGTAACTAAGCAAAACTACCGTACAAGTTTGGGTGGGGGGTGGTCGGAGGAATGTATAGATCACTGTTCTCTCGTGTGCTACATCCGGTCTAAGCATATCCGTCGCCTTCGCAGTGCTCTGGCTCAGACGTGTGCTGCGAGGGCCTGGCCTGCGCGCCCATGTTCGTGGACGAGCAGAACAAGAACGCCTTCTACGGCAACTGCCTGGCGTCGCCCGCCGTCGCGGTGCCCAAGACCCCGCGACCAGTGCACCCGGTGCTCCGCAACAGGGACGCTGCGGTGACGCCGTCGCAATGACGGGCCGAAATCCCCTCGTGCCCCCGTGGGCTCCATGCGCGTGTACATGCCATCTCAGTGTTTGGAAGCGAATGAATATGTGCCTGCTGTAACGCTCATCAACGACTCCGGATCTTGTTTTTTGTAGTTTTTTGCAGAGCCGCGATCTCCACTGGGTGCCTTTAATTTTTATTTCCTGTGCTATGTGACCTATAGTTTGTTGTAACGCAAGAACTGCGACAAAACCTCGCCCCCCCCCCCCCCCCCCCCCAAAAAAAAAAGGGGAAAAAAAAAACAAGCAAGAAATTTTCTCAATGTACAGTGGGCAGGGGTTGCCCTTTCGTGGGCGCTAATCTTGAAAGTGGCGCCGGCGGATTCTTTCTTTTCCGCGAAGTCCGGCACACGGCGCGTGCGTATTCAGTGGTGTAGTGAGGCAGGGGGGTGGGGGCTGTAGTATAGGAGATAGCAACCAGCACGGGTTCTTTTGCGACGCTGCACGAAGGAGTTGACGCGAAGGAAAAATGACACGCCAAATAACGAACCATAACTTCTTAAATATCCTAATCACGTCTTCATTAAACAGGATCCTGTCTAATGAAGGCGTGATGAAGATATTTAAGAAGTTATGGTTGGTTACTTTGTATTGACGGCAAGGACAGGGGAAAGAGGCATTGCGATGGCAGATGAGAGAGGGTTCGAGTGAAAACTGCCAATGAACATTAATGGGAATCATGTTAAAAATTCTCACAAACGTAGTCTAGGGAACGGCAGTCTCGTACACTCGAGGAACGCTACCGGAGCCACCTTTTTTTTAATTGGTCAGCTGAGTCCCACAGGGCACTTTAGAAGCACCGAACCGCCAAGAGTTCATCCTCAGTAATGCTTGCGGTTGCTACGGTTGTTTCTGGCTCAATTCCTCGCATTCGCACAAGATGGACTCGAGTGCCCCTTTCACTTCATAGTTGGCGCAGTTCCCGGAGCCTTTCCGACCAATCCGAGAGAGGAACTACAGTGTATATGCGCACACAGAATCGTAGTCGGTACAAACACCGCCTCCGGTTTCCCTAAAAGGGCAGATGGAACGCGAATGGCAGTTGAATGTTGGAGGAGTATAGCCGGATGGTAGTATGCGTGTTGGCCCAGTGGTCCAATGAAATTGCCTTTGCCACGACATAAACTATAGAAAATTCGCGAAACAAGCAGAATAAAATATAATATTTGCATGCCGATGCTCGTTTACTTTGCCCATTTCGCCACGCTATCTGCTGTCTCGCATTATGGTGCAACCTCACCATGCATTACATTTTGGTCCTTTTTTGACAGTTTAAAACTTTATTTCTGTGTATTCTACAGTCATAAAGTGAATTTCAAATTAAAGAACTATTTTTCAACAAGATATTGATGTCATGATATTACGATAATATTTAGTTGTTAGTTTATTATTCAGCTTCTACACACCACGCTTTCTAATACTGAAAAATATGATTTCTCGTGTTATAACGTCCCATCGTCTACGATAATTGACGTGAACGCTCAGTTGAAGATAATGAATCAAACAAGTAAGCGACAAACAATACAAATAATATATATTTTGAAGTAAAAAATAAAGTTTAAAATGGTATTCGTTTCGTGTTATGAAAACGGAATTACGTCAACTAATCAAAATTGCGAGACATTACATTACGAAGCATTCTTCGATATCGAATTTTCCAGAACTTCCACATCGATATATTACACGTGAAGAATGTTATTAGGCGTTAAACTTTTCCCTTTCAGTTACGGCAAGTTACAGTTTCGTAATATAAAATACAGATTGGGACACGTGTTCAAGAATAGCTTAATGTGCAGGAGGCAGTGCGGAAGTGCACCCGCCTGACCAGCCGCAATAGAACCGTTCGGGAGCTCCGATCCGCGTGTAAATTATTCTGCGCAGATGGGAGCCAAATAGCAATAACGTGAATACCCGGCCACGCCGACATTCCGGGTAGCGAGAAGGCGAACACAGCCGCGAGGGATTTATTAGTAACCTTTGAACCCTCACAAATCCGTGTCCGCCCCTCCGATCCCAATCCAGCCCAGGTTCCCATGGACCCATTGGAGCGCAGCGAGGCCACTCGTCCCGCCAGGAAGGCGCGACTCGCTGCTCTCCTTCCCCAGGAGGAATGCCCCTCCCGTCTGAATAACTAGATGGGAGAGAATCTGTTTCCGTAAGCTCCATACACAAACGGCACTGACACCAGTGTGGAGGGCTAGATTTCACCGCCCTATTTCCGAGGATGATGTTGGCCCTAGTCCACTCTGCTCCCGGTGCAAAGTGCCGGCGAAGTGCCATCACAGTATATGGGACTGTCCTAGGCACTTCATACACAGGGCTACACACCTCAATCTAGTCCCGGCGAGCTATCGCCCCACAAGTTACGCGGAATGGACATGCATGCCCACATCCCACAAAGCCACCCGACCACTGGAAACACATTCTCGACTCGCTGCTTGCCTTTGTGCGGACAGCGAACCTTCCCCTGTACGTATAATTTTCTTTCCTTCCTTTACCTTTCTGTTCGTCCTCTTTAGTCCTATCTTTCTTCCCTAAGCCCCCGTTTCAGACGAATACAGTTCAAGCGGAACGGTGGCCATTTCATTTTTCGGCTAATAAAAAAACGTTTCAATCAATCAATCGATGTGCATTTTCCGTCATGTGCCGCTTGGAACGCCACGTGAAAGACATGAAAAACGCCAGATTTCAAGGTGTCAGATGCCTGAATGCCCGAGTGAGCGAGATATACTATGTTCACCTTATGTTGTACCGCAGCGAAGGCTATGCGGAGGGCAAGTTCGTCTGCTTCTTGCGCAGGGGGTAGCGGTGACGTCAGAACGCCGACCCCTGATTGGCTGATCGCGACCCCCTTTCTGAGCGTCGTCTGCTCCTTTGCAACGTCGTCTGCTCGCAACGTCGTCTGCGTCTGTCTTACCTTTCCTGCGACTTTCGGAAGCGCAGAGGCCAGATTCAAGAAACGATCTTACGCCAAAAATGTGCGTAAGACAAAACTTAAGAACAAATTCGTATTCACGAAACGAAATTTTCGTAAGTTTTGCGCAGGTTACGACGAAATCCTACGGCAGCTCCGAAGCTGTCTTACGCACTTCTTACGATCAAATCAGCATGACCGACAGCGTCGCGGTCGCGACGATTCACGGACGTTTATTTTTCTACCTGCGCTTCAGACGCGTGCCGACTTCAAGCAGCAAGAAAAAATTAAGAAGTACTGGAAACAGACCACGACGAACAAGAACGCTGGATCCACAAACACCCGGGAAAAGCTCCAACGGCCTCGATTCCACCGAACGCGACCAAACGAGCTGGGCAGTTAGGCTTACCAGGCGCTCCGCGACTCGGCGACCGTCTGCCCACGACCAGCTGGCGTGCTGAATGGAATATGCCCGTGCGACCCTTGTGAACCCTTCCCATATTATACTTTGATCGCTGACCTCAGTTTTAGATTAAGAGGTCAATTTCTTCCTCTTGTTATCTCCTTGTTTCCCGAGGCAACGGTGACTCGCCGGTGAAAAAGCGGTGAATCTCCGACAGACGCAGGAATGGTAAAGCAGCCATCGCTTTGACTAGCAGACGTAAAGCAGACGACGTTAACTGCGCCAACCCGCCGACGCCGTTAAAGAGTGACGGGTCTCGCCGCGCACGAATGGAGGGGAAAAGTATTTGGGAGGGAACTTGCGGACACTAACACGCTAACTCTGGGTTCCAAGCAAACAAACCTCGGCGCCCCGGGACACCTCGCCAGTGAGTCCTTTGACTTCCCTCCTTGATGCGCGTCTGCTAGTTTTAGACAAAAACAACGTACCGCTCGAGTTATTTCGTCTGCCCTCTCTTAAAGGCGAAGTCGAGTTCGCTCCGAAAGTCGCAGGAAAGGTAAGACAGGCGCAGACAACGTTGCGAGCAGACGACGTTGCAAAGGAGCAGACGACGCTGAGATAGGGGGTCGCGATCAGCCAATCAGGGCTCGGCATTCTGACGTCACCGCTACTTCCTTTCTCATGCGCAGAAGACGAAAATGAGCCCACTAGCTCATAGCGTTGGCAGCAGCCCTTAGTGCACGAGAGCTTGTGCCGCCGAGACGTGCCCTAGAGTACAGTGTTCCTAGAGCAAGGAGCTCGCGCTTGTAGCCTTCCCTACGGTATACATCATAGATGTCAGGGCACATTGATACTTTAGACCCATGTTGTTGTAAAAAAAACTATCTCCAAACTCCGGTCTAAAAACATGCTTTTCGTGCAAGGCTCGTCAAATTATGAGGCGCTGGAGAAATGCAGCCTTCTGCGTTAAGTCCTTATTTCGAACTCTTTTTGTTCGCCTTCCGCCCATTGAAAAGCATGCGGGAAGGGCCTTAGAACGCACCTGGTATCGCTACGCCGCAGCGTTCTTCCGCATCAAAAAGTTCGTCTGCTTTCCTCGCCGTCACCATGGCAACGAACGCCGAATGAATAGAAGCACGCACGGTACCGCCGCGTGAAGCCAACAACAGCTGACGCCATTTTACGAACGCCGTCTGCTAGCCACATCCGAACGCGGTGTGTCAGATCAACCGCCTCCGCCAGTGCGCCGCTAGCAAAGACGACGAAGCTGAGGCACGCCGACGGCGAATGGGCGAGCAACCGCACCGCGGGACGACTGCAACGGCGGCATTTATTGGGATCAAAGGCGCGAAATAAGCAAGAACAATTTTTATTTGAATCATAACACCCGATATCCAAGTTGGGGACCACATACCTTTGCTGGGTCTCTTCTGTGAACTTTTTACAGAGACAGGGGGTGCCGCATTCAAAACACAGCTCCGTTTGCAAAATATGGGGGCCCTGAAAAGGACCGTTGAGACCGCTACCAGAACCTATAACTGACGTAACGAGCACTTGACGAGCGGTTGGCGCATAAGTCGTCTTTATGCATTTTTTTATTTTTTTATACGTGGTGCAAAGTAATCCCGCCCCATATTTTTATGGCGTCAGGAACGAAGCAGCATAGAAAGAGTACCCTTCAAACGATAATAATAATAATAATTAAAAACTGCCGGATCTCCGCTGGAGACTCCGAGGCACAGTGGAGTAGTCGTCACGATAAAAAATCTAAAGAAACAAAATAAATAGCCTAACGGTCGTCGGCTGCGTCATAAGGCCTCGCCAAGTGCGGAGTATAACGGTCTTGGCATACGGTATGTATTGTGCATTCGTTATTTTCTTTTCTTTTCTACCACGTCAAATTCTGACGCCAAGACTCTCTACCTCCTCCGTTCCAACGCGTTGTTTGTTATTATTTTAACAAATCAGCTTCAAATAAGGGTCGTGGCACCCAGTAGAGTAAGCAAAAGAATAAAAAAGGAACATTCCGAGCAGCCAGAGCAGCACGGCTGCTCTGGCCGCTCTGGACAGAGCAGCTCCTCTCATCAAAGAAGACGCCGTCCGAAACTCCAACGACTCCCTTCTTATTTTTTTATTTTTATTTTTATTCACTTTGTTACTTCATTTTGTTGTTGGGTTCGACTGCTCCCTTCTCTGTGACGATGCCGTCCGTGGACATACGTTTGGCGTTTCTTTTTTTCTTTTTTATGTCACGCGATGGTGTGGTCCGACAGATCAACCAATGAGTTTGTTAGAATTGTGTCACGAGGTATAAAATGGCGGATGAAATAAATATAATAAATGCAAAGAAGCGCGCAGTTCCCCTTCGGCGCTTTATTCTTCAAGAGGCGAGCATCGCAGTGCCATGGCGTTCAACTTGTGCCGTCTTCTTGGCGCCATGAAAGACCCTCTTGAAGCAATTAATTTGCTTCAGCGCGTTGGCCTGCTCCTGGCTCCTGGGTTTTCGTGCGTGTCCAAAGTGCGAAGCTGCGATGACAAGCTGCAAGTCCGCGCTAGATCTGCGGATGGCTACACGGGGGGGGGGGGGGGGGGGGGGGGGGGGGTTGCGGTGTGTGGATGACTCGTGAGGTGCCCAAGAGGAAGCCGGTCAAAGTTCAGTGCCGGGGCGAGGTCTCGGTACGGAGCGGTTCCTTTTTCGAAGGATCGCACGCACCTCACGTTTCTCCAACTCATGAAAATCATCCTCCGGATGCCAGAACCTACCGTGCGCCGTCATTCAGCGGGAGGCTGATATCGCAAGTAAGACAATAACTGATTGGGCGAGCCTTTGTCGGGAGGTTGTGGTAAATGCCGTATGTAAGCATTCAGACATGATTGGTGGCGAAGGCGTGACTGTAGAACTAGACGAGAGTATGATCGGTCGGCACAAGTACCATCGCAGGTATTTAAGGCCTGGCCAGTGGGTTTTCGGTGGTGTGGCGCGTTGCAGCGGGTGCTGCTTTTTTGTTCCCGTGGAGACCCGTGACGCTAAAACCCTGCAAGGGCTAATAGCCAAGTGGGTCCGCCCTGGAACAAGAATAATCACAGATTGTTGGGCTGGCTATCGCAAGCTTGCAGATGACGCTCGCTTCACGCACCTCACCGTTAACCACAAGCTGCACTTTGTCGACCCGAACACTGGTGCGCACACCAATACGGTGGAGGGCACCTGGGCCCACGTCAAAAACTCTCTTCCACGTGGACGGCGCGAGAGCCACCATTTCACTGGTCACCTTGCAAAGTTCATGTTTTGGAGGAGAGAGAAGGCGCGGAAACACTGATAGATTCCAGTCGTTCGTCGCCGCGGCCGCCAAAATCTAGAGCCCCGACGCAGACAGGGCGAGGATTCTGACGGCCCCGGTGACTTCGAGGGATCCGCTGCGCTGAGCCCGTCACCCGCCTGCATGCGTAAAGACGACTTATGCGCCAACCGCTCGTCAAGTGCTCGTTACGTCAGTTATAGGTTCTGGTAGCGGTCTCAACGGTCCTCTTCAGGGCCCCCATATTTTGCAAACGGAGCTGTGTTTTGAATGCGGCACCCCCTGTCTCTGTAAAAAGTTCACAGGAAAGACCCAGCAAAGGTATGTGGTCCCCAACTTGGATATCGGGTGTTATGATTCAAATAAAAATTGTTCTTGCTTATTTCGCGCCTTTGATCCCAATAAATGCCGCCGTTGCAGTCGTCCCGCGGTGCTGTTGCTCGCCCATTCGCCGTCGGCGTGCCTCAGCTTCGTTGTCTTTGCTAGCGGCGCACCGGCGAAGGCGGCCTTTGATCCGAATAAATGCCGCCGCTGCAGCCGTCCCGCGGTGTTGTTGCTTGATCGATCGCCGTCGGCGTGTCTCAGCTTCGTCGTCTTTGCTAGCGGCGCACCGGCGGAGGCGGTTGATCTGACACACCGCGTTCGGCTTTGGCTAGCAGACGGCATTCGTAAAAATGGCGTCAGCTGTTGCTAGCTTCACGCGGCGGTACCGTGCGTGCTTCTATTCATTCGGCGTTCGTTGCCATGGTGACGGCGAGGAAAGCAGACGAACTTTTTGATGCGGAAGAACGCTGCGGCGCAGCGATACCAGGCGCGTTCTAAGGCCCTGGCCGCATGCTTTTCAATGGGCGGAAGGCGAACAAAAAGAGTTCGAAATAAGGACTTAACGCAGAAGGCTGCATTTCTCCAGCGCCTCATAATTTGACGAGCCTTGCACGAAAAGCAGGTTTTTTTGGCCATCCCGCGTCCTGTTTTTTTTATCCGGAACATGGGTCTAAAGTATCAA